TTGTTCCTTGCAGCTTCTCTTTAGATGATCCACATTTTTGGCTCTTCCAAACTTTTGGGGTTTCCACTGAATAGGGTTCTCACAGCATTACACACTGCTCTCTCAGGGGCACACTGCCTGGCCTCCCAGGCCTTCTGAAATCTAGGTGGAAGCCTTAATCTCAGAACTCTTGCATTCTGCAAATGCCTAAAACCAATACCACACGGATGATACAAAGATCTGCTGCCAGCTGGACTAGTAGCCCGGCTTCCTTCTCTCTTGGCTAAAGGGGCTGCACTCTGTCCCTGATTCTGAGGAGTAAATTCTCCATGCCAGCGCCATTCTGGAACCTGATGTGGCTACAGCTGCCATTCTGGAACATGGGCCTCTGCAGCATTCCCCTCAAGGCAAAGTCCCTGACCTTTGCAATTCTGAGGCTGTAAAGGGTGGAGACCTGCCACCTCCTGTAATGCCCTCAGGCCATCCTTTCCATTCTCTTGTTTCTTATGGGCAATGGAGATCCTCTCAGCTCTATCTTTGCATTCCACAGCCTTAATGGAGCTTTCTTTCTGGCCAAACTCACAACATTTTAAATCATCCTGCTGGGTTACTTGCTCTTGATTCTCAACATAAATCTGACTAAAAGCTCCCAACAATAGCTATGCCACTTCCTCAATATCTGGCAGCTTTGACACTTCTTTTGAACAATGAATCAGTGTGCTTTAATCTTGGTTTCAAGAAAAGCCTCTTGGGGCCAGGGAGATGGCTCAGTGGAATAAGTGCTTCCTTGGCAAGTGCAAGGGCCTGAGTTCAATCCCCGGTTCCAAAAAAAAAAAGTCATGCCTTGAGGGCATTAGGCGTTAAAAAAAAAAAAAAAAAAAAAAAAAAAGCCTCTTGACATGAGCAAAATGCAGACAAACTTTCTGCCAAGCCAAAACACACATTTTCTGGAGTCCAACAACCAATGCACTTCTTCTTCCCAGCAGAAACCTCCACAGGCTGGTTTTACAGGCAGGATTTCTATCAGCCTTCTGGTCTTCTGAGCTCTGACCAGAATCTTCCATACAGAATAGCTGAAGCTGTTTCAGCCCTTCTCTTGTGGGTGAAATCTCCAAATTTTTCCTAATCTCTTTTTTGAGCCATTCCCAAAAGCTCATAATCCACATGGCCAGGTTTAGCCACCGCAATGACCCCTCTCCTGGTATCAAATTCTGTCTCAGTTACTCTTTGCTTGTTACTGGGACAAATACCTGACACCCAAAATGAAGGAAGAAAACATTTATTTAGCTCACAGTTATTGGAGGTTTCAGTCCATACTCAGCTGGCTCCAAGGTAGAGTGGCACATGTCAGAGCAAACTTTCATAGTGACAGCAAAGAGCAAAAGAACAAAGGGAATGACAGCAGCTCAGGCAGCTAGCTAGCCTCTCTCCCCTCCTTGCATTGTAATGCAAATTACCTGTCCATATACCCACAATAATCAATCACAAACTTCAGAAGCCGCCCCATGATGCATGAGGCTTCGGGGGGACAACTAGACAGAAACCATAACATTCTGGTTTGGGTTTTTTTTTTTTTTATGAGCTCTCATTTCTACTTAATAATTTCTCCTTGTCCTTTTCTAGTTCTTTCTTCCAATTCTTATTCATTTTTTTTTCTTTAAATTCAGCCAAAGCCTTATAGCCTTTCTTTTTCTTTTCTAGTTGATCTTTCACTTCTTCTCAGGTAGGCTGGGTCGATTCAGATAATCCTGGATTGTTGACCCTGAAGAGTGGATTGAACCCTTTGGCCTGACCATTGATATTGGATTCCTGTAGGCCAACTGGTTGCCCTACTTCCCCAGGGTACCAGATAGAATGCACAGTAAGACTGCAAAACCACAGAAGCAGCCAAAGAAAGGCCCACCAATGGTCCTTCTCTGAGATGACTTTCTTATCTTTGATGTTAGCAAACACTTATTTCATATGGTCTTGACTTAAAGATTCTTAGTTGATGAATTGGAGGAAAAGGTTGAGATCATTCAGTGTTCCTTCCTCTCTAATTTTTAGCATAAACATGCCTCCAGAAAAGGTAAATACAAAGTGACACAGAAAGGTCAGAAGTGAGATCAGAAAAAAGGAAGTCTTTTCTTCTTGTGCTTTGGTGCATTCTTGAGACAACTTGCCGGTGAGTCATCCCACTTAGCCTGGAAAGGAGAAGGTAGGGCAGTAGCATTGCCTCCTTAGGAGTGGACCAGAAATAAAACAGGCAAAGTAGGCTTGATATTACCTCTAGAGGGTAGAGGGGGTTAACAGTCAGTCCCACTAAAACCTGTCCTCCAAGTTTTCAGAACTGCTGCCAACTTATTTTCTTTTAAGCAGATAGAGTCCCATAATTTATTAGTAGGTATCCATATTTTATAAATAATAACTTAATTTCATAAAAAGACTCATTTTGAAGCATTTCATATCAAAGTCCACTAGGCAATGCGCTAACATTACTTTTCTGTAGCACTGCTGTCTGACAAGTCTAACAGGTCAAGCAAGGATCATCAATAAATTTGCAATGAGTAAGTCCAAAGGAAACATACAAAGCAGGAATACAAGACCTCACCTGCAAAGTAAAATGTCCCTTCAAAGGAACATCATAATCTTCTCATGTTCCCAATTTAAATTTGTCACCATTTTAACAAAAACAACATGTAAACAAGGCAAGACATAAATTTCAAGCCATGAGCAATTCACAAACTGGGAAGACAGTTTCTAATTTCCTAAACAAGTCACAATCCAGAATCCAAAACCAAACGCAAATACTTACCTCCTTCCAATGATCTCACTGAGGCTTCCAAGAATGGTGTAGGGCCTCCAAATGAAACAAGCAAAATAAATGCAATTCATAACCTGCTAGGTGTGTGATACACCAAGTTCATATTCCCCAGAGTAAAAGAATGAATTCTAAGGAACAACAGAGGTAAAGAGTAGGAAAATTCATTGGGGAAAAGGAATGGAGAATAGGAACTGCTCCTGGGAGAGAGGAGGAAGTAAAAAATGGATTGCCAATGACCCCACCTCTGAAAAGAAGATTTATAAAACAAAATCATGAGGTTGATATAACTTGTGTCAAAACTGTGATCACGCAATTATACTGGGTTAGAATTAAATTGAGACTGAGACCAGAACAGATTGGAATTTGGTGAGCCTTTCTTAGCCAGTCCAGTGGCTGGTCAGCTGCACTCCATACAGGGGGGCATCAACCAACAGCAAAGCAGAGTTAAACTCAGTCTTTATAGCAAGCTTTGTTGATACAGCTACAAGCTGTTTACGGCTAGGAGGTTTTCACAGTTTTTAGCAATAAGTGGAACTTGCCCCAGATGGGACCTGTTAAGCAAGCTGTTTTTACAAGAAACAGGGTGAAAATACATCATCTGTGTACAACACTAGCAGGCTGAAGGATCTGCACTTGAGCCAGGAAGCAATGCTCAAAGAGCTAGATGTCCCTGCCAGCTGTGCCCACTAGGAAAATAACAAGAGCCACATTAATTTTCAGAGTAGATAACAGGAAGCCATTTTAGTGAGGACACAAGGTTCCTCCTAGTAATTTCCCACAGTTATAGCACAAAATTCAGTTATCCTATTACACTAATAAATTTGTAGGCATAATTGCTCAGGCAGAATTGATACATTAGTAGAAAGGGCTTATGGCTGACATTGTTGGCCTTGACCAATAATCTATAATCTTAATCATACTCTTAGTCTAATGATGTAATGGTTTATACAGGAAATTGCAAAAGGGTGGTACCAATTTAAAGCTTCTGTTTATCCCTTAGGAAGTACATAAATTTGGACATCATTACTAAAGCTCGTCAGAAGCGCCTCCAGCCACAGTTCTGATGTGAGCTCATCTTCTGCATAGGCTTCCTTGAGGGCTTAAGCCTTCCTGAACACCTACAATTGTTTTACCTAATATGGGTCTCTATAATATTCTCTCATCTGAAGAGATAGCTCTGGAAATGCTATGAGGAGACAAAGGATGCAGATCTTTCTGGCTACTTCTGGCCGAGGGGGTTTGCAGCTGTGATTGACAAAGATATCCCACAGAGGGTCTACCCAAAGGCCCCTGATAGATGCCAGGTATTCTCATTTTGAATAGGCATAGAGCATTAAGTCTGAAGGAGGCAAAACCAAGAAAGCAGTTATGAATTCATGGCCAAATAGTAAGATCAAGAAGAATAGTATGGGGCCGGACTCGCGAGGGAAGGAGATGCGCCATGCTGCTGGGGTCGCTGCGGCGCTGGGCCTCCCGCATGCTGCACCGCGTGGGGCGGGGGAGTCCCGGGAGCTCCACCAACCCCGCTCCAGGCGCGGGACCGCAGCCCAGCGTCTGGCCTCTGGTTAAAAATAGAGAAAACGAAAAAGAGAAAAAATCAGTGATCTGTGTTGAGGGCAATATTGCGAGTGGGAAGACGACATGCCTGGAGTTCTTCTCCAATACAGCAGATGTTGAGGTGTTAATGGAACCTGTGCCCAAGTGGAGAAACGTTCGTGGCCACAATCCTCTGGGCCTGATGTACCGTGATGCCAGCCAATGAGGCCTCACACTGCAGACTTATGTGCAGCTCACCATGCTGGACTAGCACACTCGTCCTCAGGTGTCACCAGTACGGCTGATGGAGAGGTCGATTCATAGTGCAAGATATGTTTTTGTAGAAAACCTTTATAAAAGTGGGAAGATGCCCGAAGTGGACTATGTGATTCTCTCTGAATGGTTTGACTGGATTATGAAGAATATAAATGTCTCTGTTGACCTGATAGTTTATCTCCGGACCACTCCTGAGACCTGTCACCAGTGATTAAAGATGAGGTGTAAGAAAGAGGAGAAGGTCATTCCGCTGCCCCCTGGCAAGGCTAGGCCTTGCCTGTTCCACCTCCTGAAGACTGATTGGATCTGTGCCCTCTGGATCTTCCCTGGAATGTGAGTCTCAGACGGCTGGAGCAAGCCCTCACTCCCTCATGCAGCTGGCACTTTGCTCAGTGCCTCGTCTAGCATGGAGGAGTACCTTGAAGCCATTCACCAACTCTATGAGGAGTCGCTGGTCACAGGCAGCCTCTTCCCTGTGACAGCCCCTGTTCTGGTGATTGAGGCTGACCACAACATGGAGAAGATGTTACAAATACTTGAACAGAACCGGGCCCGGATATTAACACCAGAGGACTGGAAGCATGGCCCTTAGGATGGGAGAGGTTTGTGGGATCAGGCCAGGAGCAGGCTCCCAGCTGCCAAGCCAGCTATTAGGAGGAACCGAGAACAATCTGCTGTTACAAGGCCTTTCATCTGGCCAAATCTAGCTCCTCATGGTCCTTTCTCCTTAGCTAGTACCTTCATCATGGGTCCATGACTCTTGTGGGTAGGTGACAAATGGGACCAATATGTTTGTTGCCCCTTGGTGTGTGGAGCCTGTATTTGCCTGGTGGCTTCCCACTACTGGATCCCTCTGCTGACCTCCTTAGGAACAGCTCCTGCTCTGTGAATGACACTGGGCTGGTTTCTGTGCATCCCAGTCACTCAGGAGAGCGAAGCAGCAGCCTCACATCTCAGGTGAGGAATTTAGAGTTCAGTGAGATTAAAGACTCCTCAGGGTCTCACAGCCAGTGAGCCATGAAGATGAGGGCATTCATCCTGTTAGCCCAGGCTGCTTCACCTTGAGAGATGGTCCCAACAGACCCTTAGCTCTTTGTGTGGAGAGCTGGCAGTGCATCTTCTCATCACTGAGCAGTTCTCAAGGACAGCCAGGATTTCTAGACTTTCACAAAGTTGTGCTGTTTGGCTTGAGCCCATGTTAAATGGTTTTACAGTGTGAAGGCACTACGGCCTCTTCCGGTTGCCACCTGGACTTCACCACCACAGGAGAATCCCACACTGACTCCTGAGTGGTTCCCAGATGCTGGGGGTGAAGGTCCTACCTGAACTGCTGCCAGTTCCATGCTGGGGGCCAGTTTGTAGTGCTTGGGGCCAGTTTGCCTGGTGCTGAGGCGTGCCGGGGTGACCAAGGCAGCCAGGCCTGGTTTCTGAGGCTCCTCTCCTCTGTCCTTGGGTGAGGAGCTTTGCCCTTGCAGTTACTTAGCGTTTGTGGTCTGCAGGGAGAGGCACAAGTGGCCTTAATTCTATTTGAAAGATTTTTCCATCCAAGGGAATATCCAGCTACAGAGCATGAAACCATCTCCACAGCTTCAGAAAATACTGTCAGCTGTGACAAGGTGCTGAAGGCCCAGCTGCCTGTTAAACCAAGTAGGAATCAGAAAAAAGGAGAACGCTTTGTGAGAGCCATCCAAACAGCACAGTCAGGGGTTGCAAGCAGGCTGTAGAAGCTTTGCTGGCAGTGGGCAGAGGACACTGGAGAAGATTGGGCATGAACATGAGTACTGAGTTGCTGACTCGAGGCATGCAGCTGTAGCACTTGACTGTCAATGAAGGCCACCTCTCCCACCCCGTGAGTGTGAACCCTTGTGCGGCCACAGGTGCCAGGAGGTGCAGTCCCAGAGAGAGTGCTGAGAGGTCAAAGACTCCAGCTCCCAGTCCTTCCCATTTGGGCCAGTACTGGGCCACATGAGCTGACTGCAGCACTTGGTGTTGAGGGGCAGTCATTGAGGGCAGCGTGGAGACTGCACCCATCAGCACCTGCAGCCACGTGCTGTTCAGGAACCCGGAGCAGTTGGGCATCTTTGCTGTCAGGAATCTTGACATGTTGCGGCAGTTTGGGGAGTTTGTAAGTGAACAGTGCGATGCTTGCCTCTTGGCTCAGTGTAAGTGAGCAGTGCAATACCTTCCCTTTGACTCGATTTGAGCAACCATTTTGTGGAGAAATGTAATTTTACCCCTGTGATAGCCAATAAATCCTTCACCTAAAAAAAAAAAAAAAAAAGAATGCTTTTTAATAGGATCTTGATTTATTAGATAAATATTTTGTATTAGAGATTTTACTGTGGAAAGTGTTAAAAAAAAAAAAAAAAAAGAATAGTATGCATACAACTAACAAATATTTCCAGCTAAGATTGCCTCCTCAGCAGAGGGAAATAGGACTAGAATGGAAATTCAGATAAAATAGGCTCAACATTCCCTCTAAAGTGTAGAGGGGCACTCAGGCCAGAGTATCCCAGTGAAACCTGTGCTCCAAATTTTAAGAATGGTTGCTCACCAGTTACTTTTTAACTGCTGGAAAATGAAATCTTGTGATTTATTAACAGGCATGTATATTTCCTAAATATAAACTAGATTTCATAAGACTCATTTGATAGCATTTTATATCAAAGTCCACAAGGGAGTGCTCTGACACTACTTTTTCCTAGTGCTACTGTCTAAGAGAAGATAGCAAACCGCAACAGTCAAAAAGCTTAAGTAAGGGGCTGGGGACTTAGCTAGTCAGTCTAAGCACTTGCCTAGCAAATGCAAGGACCTGGGCTTGATCCCTGATACTACATGCTGTACCAGCTCTAGAAACTGGGCACACTGTGCTGGCCAACAAAACCGGATATGGTGACATATACCTGTAATCCCAGCATGGGGGAGGCTGAGACAGGAGGATCACTATGAGTCCAAACTGCATAGGGAGACCCCGTACCAAATAAATAAATGATTTAAAAAATTTTTTAAAAAGTTTAAGCAAAGAACACCAGTAAGGTGAGGCTTGTTGTCTGAGATCCTGAAAATGATTTAGAACACATTATAGGGGCAACAAAAGCAGAAACAAAGCAGACTGACACATGGTTATTAGACAAACAAACGACAATCGGCCAAAACACAAAAATGAAACAAAAACAGATCTGAGACTCCGATCTACCATTCCGGAGGGAGTCAAGTCCAGGGGCTATCATTATGTCTAACACCTCCTAGACTCCCAGAAGGGCACCCCAAGAGAGCAGATATAGATATAGATGTCTTACCAGTAAGAACTTACAGATGGGGAGCCAGGGAGATGGCTCAATGGAATAAGCGCTTTCCTGGCAAGTGCAAGGATCTGAGTTCAATCCCTGGTTCCACCAAAAAAAAAAAAAAAAAAAAAAAGAACTTACAGATGGCTCATCGGTTCAAATGATAAAATTTGTAAGTTTTCAGAGACCACCCTGGGGCCAGAAAGTCTCTCTGGGGAAATGGTTTCCAAAAACTCTGGCTCCTTAGATTGATCCCAGTATAGGGGATCCTGGATGAGCCCCCACATGTTATGGGTCTCTCAGAATAGCAACCAGATCAGAAGCCAGATTGGAATTTATAAGAGCTTTTATTACTGAGCTCAGGGCTGCCAGTCAGTTCTCATGCAGAAGACGGATCGGCACCTAGCCCACGAAGCAAGGAGCTTTTAAAATGAAAGTCACATGACTAAGAGGTCTTTCACAGTTCAGTGATATGAGCAACTTGCCTGTTGGGGGGCTTGTTGAGCAAACCATTTTTACAAGATACATCTTTTTTTTTTTTTTTTTTTTTTTTACAAGATACATCTTAAGCTGACTATGTTTATAGGGGAATTAGATTAGGGAGGAAAGGGAGACAGTTACTCATTACTAAACAGCCTTGAACAGAGGGTGAGAACACATTCTTTAGAGTAGATAAAAGGAAGCATAAGAGAACCTAATAGTTTTTCATAGTTACAGCTCAAAATTCCGTTGACCTATTACAAAGATAATATTTATTTAACCAATCATAAATGATTATTGAAAACATTTTGCAAGTTAACACTTTAAATAATCTTTAACTCTTGAAATTCAGGGTTTTTTAAATAACCAAAAGCCTAATGATAGAAAATGTAAGAAGTTAGTAAAATACAAAACTTTTTTGTTGTTGTCTTTTTGAGACAAGGTTTTGCTACGCAGTTTTGGCTGGCCTTGAACTCACTTTGTAGCCCATGCTGGCCTTGAACTTGCAATGATCCTTCCGTCTCCACCTCCTGAGTGCTGGGATTACAGGTGTACACCACCAACTGGTAAAACCTTTGTTTTTAACCTACTTTGTAAGTTTGAGCAAGAGCATTTATTTTTTTTTTATTTTTTATTTTTTAATGTATTTATTACAGGTCTACCAGGTTTCACTATGTAGATCAGACTCGTAGTGATTCCCCTGTTTCAGCCTCCCAAACACTGAGATTATAGGTTTGTGCCACCACAAAAGCATTTTATTTATTTATTTATTTATTTATTTATTTATTTATTTATTGGCAGAACCAGGGATTGAACTCAGGCCCTTGCACTTGCCAGTGGAAACTGAGCCATCTTCCCAGCCCAATTTTTTTTTCTAATTTTTTAAAAATTTTATTTAATTAAAACATTTTAACAAGACTACATAAAGACAAACCATAAACAGTTGTAAACAATTTTAACAGAACTACATGAGGCAAAACTGTATGAGGCAAAGTATGAACAATTATAAACAATGGGCAAAGACATATCAACATTGGAAGCATAAAAATTTGTTACCTAAGCAAGTCCCAATCCAGAATCTATGAAAGAAAAACAAATTCATACCTCCATCCAATGATCTTGGTGGAAACCTCCAAATGATACTAGGAACCTCCAAATGATATAGGGGAAAAATTATCTCCTGACCTGACCTGGATGAGTTCATGTTCTCTAAAACCAAAAAATGAATTTTAGGAACAAACGGAGGTTATGAGCAGAATATATTTATTGAGGGAAAGAAAGCTCCTGTCTGAAAGAGGGACAGGAGGGGGGCCTGAGCAGGTTGTTCCCCAGCCCAGTTTTTAAAAATCAGTTTTCATTGGTACATTTTAGATATACATGATTGTCCCATACGCCCCAGAGAATTTGTTCCTATACATGATATAACTTCTTTTCTCCCATTCTTCTACCCTCCCTTCAACCCTTCCCCCCTGCCAATTTATAAAAGCTTTGTTCCCATTTTTTCTTTTTCTTTTTCTCCTCCTCCTCCTCCTTCTTCTTTTTCTTCCTCTCCTCCTTCTCCTCCTTATTCTTCTCCTCCTTCTTCTTTGCTTTTCTCATATATATATATACATATTTTTTTCTTTTCTTTTAAATAATATTTGTTGAAGTGGCACACAATAAGACTCAGGAAAAAGCTGGAGAAACTGCCCATCAGTGGAGAAAACTGAAGTGAGCTGGCTCAGGCAGCTACCTT